TATCGTGTCACCATAACACTTTTGTAACATTTTTAATGTGTCGGAACACTTAATTTCATTTTTATAGCAAAATTTAATGCAAGAACGTTGTTCAAGTTTTGAATCCATTGTAAAAATCGCCGCGACGTAAAAACTTGATGTAAAGAAATCACTGTCTTAAAGGTAAAATGAACAGCTGATAAGCAGAAGCTTGTCATGGGTGTCCGTAACAGTGCTGCCAACGTGACACAAACAACAGAATTCTAAACCGATAAGCCCGCGAGGTTTAAATTAAAAATTCCGGTTATTTTTTGATCATGGTATGTCTTCGTATTATCAATATAGTAATACAATATTAATAGTATATTATATAATATATTTTATATGTCAGTGTCTGCTGGACATTCTGTTTCTTTCTTTTCTTCCGCACTCGATTCGCTTTCTGCAGCAGCACTTTCAGAAGTGCTTTCGTATTCTTTTTTCTTACTATTGGCGTATCTGAAAAAAAAATTGAAACAATAGTCGATTTTAAGAAAATATACTATATTGAAAAACAAGAAATCGTTAATATTTACTTTTTTAAACGAAAAGTGGCCTGAGCCAACCACGGACCCGTCCAAAAATTTTATCATTCACATGTGGACAATCCTTAGCTACTATCTCTGTAAAATAATACATGTATTATTAATACATGTATTTTCTTGAATGCTTAATTGCATCAACAGAACTAGGCAGTCAAAAAATGTTTTTTACTTTGTATGATAATAATAAGCATAGGAAGTAATAAGAAAAGTTGAAGCTTGTGTTCATTTCTTTGCAATTAATGTACAAAAAATTGTATATTTCCAGCTATCTGACTGGCTAGCATTTTTAATTTATTGGAATAGATCCTAATTATGAAATAATACAATTTTATCGATCATTGTTTTATTTTGTTCGAGTTTACTTACCAAGCAGAGATGAAGAGAAGATTCAACGATTAAATTAAAACGACGTTACTGAGAAAGTCGGCACGTTTTTATCAGATCCTCAGGCTCTCGATCGGGATCAAAATCTTCGTCGAAACCACACACACATCACTTGTTGGCGCACACCACGTGCTATGCTGTGCTATGGCGGAAATTATTATTATAAATTATTATTATATTATGGCGGAAAAATCTCTTTGCAAGAGGAGTGTATGCCAGTCTAAGACAATGGTAGATCGATACGTCCGGAAAGGCTCCTCTTTCCGTCGTGAAATTGTTCAAAAATCTCTACGTTATTACGTCCGACCGGCGGCTCAACAAAGACTTAACTCGGAAACATCAAAACACTCAACTTTCTGCAAAGCTAATACCTCACGACCACGCGTGTCTATCGACCGTAGAGCATAGTTGCAAACTCGAGCCGGCTAGCACCGAGAGCACCGAGGTGTTGGGAGCCACTGGGAACACGCACACAAGCGAGAACCGCTGTCCGTGTGCGTGGAACGGACGGCGGTTCTCGCTTGTGTGCGTGTTCCCAGTGGCTCCCAACACCTCGGTGCTCTCGGTGCTAGCCGGCTCGAGTTTGCAACTATGCCGTAGAGTCGACAACAAAAGAACGATAAAGCCCGTTCTACATTGATCGCAAGCGCAAACGCAAGGATTAGATCTTGTAGAATTGACCAATCACGCTGGTCAATTGGCTGATTTGATCAATACGATTAGTCAATTCTACGAGATCTGTTCTTTGCGTTTGCGCTTGCGATCAATGTAGAACAGGCTTAAGACATATATGTGATACTTCTATATCGCTAGTACGGTGCCGACCTGAAGCCCAAACTTTACGGTGCAGACAATATAGTAGCCTCTCTCTCGCGCAAGGTCCAGCTGCTTTGTGCGCATGCGGTGAACATTCAAGCACGCTTGGGCATTTCTCTTTCTCGCGTTCTTTCCATATATATAATACTTTTATATTGCTAGTCGCGTATCTTCGCAATGAGAGGCACGAGGCCCGAGAAAGAGAGACGCACGAAGTCCAAATATTGGCATAGATAGTCGAGCGTCATTATGAACAGGCGTGTCTACTAAGCGAGTGCGAGCGAGACAAAGCATTGGAAAGTGAGAGAAAGAACGCGAGAAAGAGAAATGCCCAAGCGTGCTTGAATGTTCACCGCATGCGCACAAAGCAGCTGGACCTTGCGCGAGAGAGAGGCTACTACATTGTCTGCACCGTAACGTTTGGGCTTCAGGTCAGCACCGTACTAGCAATATAGAAGTATTACATATATGGGCTTAAAACGCCTCACTAACAATGGCTCATGGCTGCGTGCTGCGTTCCGTTTTATGCATGTGCGCGCCATAGACTTATATAATAGACGGAACATTTATATGACAAAGTTGAGAACAACATTAAAGGACAGAGATAGTGCTGGAGTAGTTGTCTCTCTCTCTTAAGATAAGATGATGGGGAACCAATCATCTCACAAGTCTATGCTATCACCTTTCACTATCACTTTCTCTCAACTGACTCTCGAACTCTATCTTCGTTGCTCTCGGCCTGCCGTGGCCACCAATCAACTCACTGCTAGAAAAGAAGAGAACTACTCCACGACTATTTCTGTCTCTTTTAACGAAGACTTCAGCACCTCTTACACGAATGTTCCGTCTATTATATAAGTCTATGGTGCGCGCTTAATCTAGAGCAGCCGTGGCTAATCGCGTATCTTCGCAATGAGAGGCACGAGGCCCGAGAAAGGGAGACGCACAAAGTCCAAATATGGGCATAGATGGTCGAGCGTCATTATGCGCGGCGCATCTACCAAGTGAGTGCGAACGAGACAAAGCATTAGAAAGTGAGAGAAAGAACGCGAGAAAGAGAAATGCGCAAGCGTGCTTGAATGTTCACCGCATGCGCACAAAGCAGCTGGAGAGAGAGGCTACTATATTGTCTGCACCGTAACGGTGAGCTTCAGGTCGGCACCGTACTAGCAATATAGGAGTATTACATATATGATCTAGAGCATATGCATAGACTTATATAATAGACGGAACATTCGTGTAAGAAGAGCTGAAGCTTCGTTAAAAGAGACAGAAATAGTCGTGGAGTAGTTCTCTTCTTTTCTAGCAGTGAGTTGATTGGTGGCCGAGGAAGTGGCCGAGAGCAACGAAGATAGAGTTCGAGAGTCGATTGAGAGAAAGTGATAGTGAAAGGTGATAGCATAGACTTGTGAGATGATTGGTCCCCCACCGCTCTTATCGTAAGAGAGAGAAACAACTACTCCAGCACTATCTCTGTTCTTTAATGTTGTTTTCAACTTCGTCATATAAGTGTTCCGTCTATTATATAAGTCTATGAGAATATTAACGTGTACTATATAAATAGATGCGCATATGCATGAAACAGGACGCATTCAATTGTAAGATTTTCTGTTGTGACTGGTCTCTTCCTGTAGATTTACTAAAAGAGGCCAATCACAGCAGAAACTCTTACAACAGTTGCAAAGCAGTTTATTCTGCTAAACGCGGCCATGCAGACTTGCTTCACACGCATGCGCTTGATAAATAGAAAAAAAATCCAGATCGCAATAATAAAATATTTATAATTAAGAATTGAAATTTTTCAATTTAAAAAACTCACGTGAAAAATTTACACGTGAACACACACACACACACACACACACATATATGTATATATAGAGTTTAATATAATATACATATATAGTATATTTTATATATGTATATATAGAGTATAATATAATATATATATATATAT